CAAGAGAAACGGGGCGGGAGAGAGGGGGGGGGTGATGGTGGGGACGAGGGAGGGGGGAGGAGGAGGGGGAGGGAAGAGGTCGATGAGGATGGATATGGAGGAAGGGAAGGCGGGTAGGGATCTGGGTTTCGATTTGGAGCACTGGATGATGGGTCCGGGCAGGGGATCCGCGTCGGCCGGATCGACCCTCGAAACTCAGACCAGTAGTGGCGGCAACTCCCCCATCGGCGATTGGCGCATCTCCAGTCCCGGTAAATCTCTTTCTTTTTCATTTTGTTTATTCATGCAAAGAAATCTTAATTGGTTTTGGATCTGAAATTCGTTTTTTTTTTTGGTGGGGAATGTGATGATAGGTGACGATCCGAGGGAGGTTAAGGCGAGGTTGAAGGTGTGGGCACAAGCCGTGGCTCTAGCTTCTGCCTCACGCCATGCTTGCTAATAATAGCAATATTCTTCCCCTTATCTTTCTTACTTTTGTTGGCTCATTAACCTATAATAGATGAATGAAGATATATTCCCAAGTTTGATGTAAAGTTTCGGTTTTTGCTTTGGAGAGCTGCATGCATGTTCATGGGTTTGTGAATACGAAAGGAGTAGGGAGTTCGTTGGTGATGAAAAGCCATCCATGTGGACTGCGCTTTTGTGCTTTGTGGTTTAACAGTGCGTGTTTTTTATTATGTGCCGAGAAAAGCTAAAACGAAAACTTTGGACACGAGGGAGGAGGGCCCCATCCCATCCCATCCCATCCCACAGGAATCTGTTTTATGAATCCCATTCCCACCACACAAAGTCAATGTAGAATGACGGGCAAACAAAAAAAAGATTTCATTAGCTAGAGATTTAAATCTTGAATAGAATATTGTGTGCGCAACATGGTGATGCCTTGTGATTTAATGAAATTGCAAGGAAGAAGAGGCTTCCCTCTTCACTAATGGAACCTAACTCAGAATCCGGGGGACGAATTCAGTCAACATCAAAGGGACCACAGAGGCACTGACAAGCAGGGGAAAGAGGGAAATATAAAACCTGGACGAAGCGGAGATCTCTAGTGCGGATGTAACAACACTGCAAATCGGGGAATGTATAACAACACCAATAAAAATGATGATGACGATGACGATACTCAGTCTCCCAAATCCCGGATAATAAATAAATCATGCAAGGTAGGGAGTCTATTACATATTATGCCGTTTTTGCCATCTTGGGCGATCAAGCAATTGTTACAATTTCGGGGTTTTAACATTAATGGTACAGTTCTTAAAGAAGAAGAAGAAGAAGAAGAAGAAGAAGAAGAAGAAGAAGAAGGGAAGAGGGAGCTTTACTCACTTGAAAATCAGATTGTGACATGTTTTGTCGCATGGATAGGGGCAATCTATGGCCTTGACAGTTGCTCTGTCATAGTACCAGTCGCCCACTGATTCCGCAACTCTCTGTGAGTGAACACAAACAGTTGTTATGAATATGATTAGAGTAGTTGTATCTAAATAGCTGAACACTTTTGGGGTTTGGGTTTAGGGTTTAGGATCAGGAGGAGGAAGCTCTTACCTTGCCCTCCATGCTGGGAGAATCGGCTGCAAACCAAGTATCCTGTCTTTCGGACTGGCAGTGCGCGAAACAAGAGTTTATGAACAGACCGTTCTCAGCAGATTCCGAGAAGGACTTTACGACATTCACCATTTGATTCCTGAAGTCTGTTGAACATAGTAAATATAAATACAACCCATAAGCCACGACGATGATTGTATTTGCATTTTGCTCCAACGCAAAGAGAGAATTTGACGACATTCCTTAAAAAGGTCACCTTGGAAGAATTGGATCTGTGATGAATTACAATGAGAGTGATCAGATTTGCATGCCTTCCAGAGGCCACCTGGGTCGGCAGACGGAGGGGCTAAGCTCTCTTGGACCTGATGAATCCATATATTTGTGAGATTGAATTGTCCAACTGCAGTGATAGAAGAGAAGAAAAAGAAGAGAGTGGGTACCTGCCAAGCGTCATATGCTGCGTTGAGAAGGAACATGGGAGTTTTGATGCCTGAAATCAGGTTCTGGGGAAAGAAGCACTGCGAGAAGCCGAGAAGAGAAAGAAAAAGGGTCACAGGAGTATAGGCTAGAGATTGTTGAACCTCTGTCTATTGGAAACTTTGCTCATAACAGTGACATCGATAAGAAAGAGATTTACCGAAGTTGGGTCCAAGTGGTTTGTGCAAATACTGGGGAGTTCCTTTTCTAGGTTCTGGAATTAACACAAAAGAACAGAGAAAATATTGTAAGCAAGCATAACATAAAGTTGAATCGTATTAGGAACGTGTTTTCTAGGTAACTAACAAGAAATTCTGATTCTGAGATTACCTGAAGCGTAACAACACCTTGGAACATATTCCTGAGTGAACGGCCTCCAGATACATCCACTCTATAGTTTTCAGCCAAAGACAACTAAGGTTGGATGATGCCTTTCGTTTTCGGCAGAGTAAGTAAAAGATGTTGAGAAAGGAAAACAGAGTTTGATGGATTTACGCGTCCAGAAACATTCCAGCATCACTTAAGCACTTCACTTTCGTAGTGGAAGGTAATAGTTCCCTGAACTCATCACAGTGCAAGATAGAAGCTAATCCTCCAGCTGAACATCCAGAAAGCAGAGCCTGAAACAGAGAGATCCTACTTGTGAGTGAACATATACAAAGGCTAGCAACACAAACCAGACTAAAATGCATAAACCTGCTAGGCTCGAAAGAGTGCAAAACCTGCTCTGCTTTCTGCATTCCTTTAGAAAGCAATTCTTCCATAGCCACTTGCCAGATGCGTTGTCCTCGGTAGTAGAGTCCAGAACTCTAAACACAAGCCATAGTAAGCAATCATACATCAGGTATAAGGTAAAAGCAGAAACATTCAGGGTAGAAAAAAAGGTCACAGATAACAGGGAAAAAGATGTCGAGCAAACATTCTGACCAACCTCGTCCTGACTATCTCCAGTGAACGACGCACCATCACAGTAACGCAATTTGACTCTGTTCCAATTGAAGAAGTCTGTGAAACCGAAAATAGAGGATCAAATGATGTACATACACGCAGTTTGATATAGTCACATCCACACGCAATCAGATCATAGATTCATAATGCGTAAAGCGTGATGAATGGGGAGAAACCAGGATTCTCATCAGGTTTGTCGCTCAATATTCCGGTGAAGGGTAGAACTTTTTCCATGTACTTTGATGAACCACGTCGAGTGGTTTTCCGGAAGACACAGCTCCTGCGATTGTTACACCATCCACCACCCTACATCAGAAGAAAAGCAAACCAAGCAAAGGAAATGAAACAATCAACAAGCCGTAAACTGATGTATAACTTCCAAAATGGTTTCGGAAGGAAGAAATATGAGAACACAGTTTTCGGAAAGTAATTACGTCAAAGACAGAACATGTGAAGGTTGCATATACAAACCTCCAATTGGATGAGCCAGTTTTTAGCACCTGATCCAGAACCAAGGTGTAGATGGTAACCAGGTAGTGTTCCATCCAGACAAACTGCCGCAGTCAATGTTGAAACCAATTGTCAGAAAACACACAAGAAGTACAAAGAAATGGAGTTTCAAACACATTTTCATGAGAGAAAATCATGATACATCTTTGACAAATCCGAAGAGCTAAAAACACCAGTATGCTTCACCGACCAAAGCAAAGGAATACCATCAGAGTTTTACGCAATGACAAACAAAGCATTTCGATTAGTGTGCCAATCCAAATCATGAAGAGCCCGATGCTGTACCGAGAATTAACAACCAGAGCCAAGAATCTGGGATTACAAGATCACTTTAGGTATAACATCCAGTGATTTAGTAACAACAGCAGATCAGCACCAGGACTTCGAATCAAGCCTCACATTTTGCATCTCAGGGAATCAAATCGAAAACGAACCGTAAACACCAAAGGGGAATGCGGCAACAAAGTAAACCATATACATTCCGCCGACACGATGATAGACGCATCAAAAACAGTAGAAGCATTCTTCCGACCTGGTACGAAAAATGAGAAATCGAAGTTTACCGGCTCCTTTGGAGTCAGCACCCTGTATAAGCGTGAGAGGCACCCTTAGTGGCTGCGGAGACGACGGCGCCAACAACTTGCTCTCCAGTAGCGAAATCGCCGCATAAGTATCGTTCAGTCTCCCGAATCCACCGGCAGATCCGCCCCTCACAACCCCCACGACGCAGCACAACCACCACACGGCCGCCGCCGCCGGCAACACAATCCTCCGCATCTCGGCCGCCGGAAAATCCCGATTCGCCGCTTTGATATTTCTCTCTGACTGGTCGGAGCTCACCGTAGTGCGCTCAACTCCAATTGGCTTAAAATTAGATCAACGATGGAATCACTGCATGAGGAAAGCGGTTCTTTTTTTTTCTCTTTATATAATTTCTTTTGCTAATATGAGAGAATTATTTCTGAATCTAGAAATTAAATTCGCAATATCGCAGAAATAATTACGAGAATCCTAATTTTAGATTTGTGTTTGCGGATATGAGTATGAGACTGATGTCGTATCTACATTTCCCTAATTTATTTATTTAATTCTAGCATGTAGTAATATTTTTTTAGGGGGATTGATTATATGGTTTTTTTAAAAATATTAGCATTTATTAAAGCCAATATCAAATTATCAATCAAGGGACATGTTGGTTCCTTCCTCAACAATCAAAATTCCTTTCCATCAATGTATTGTAGTTTTTTTTTTCCTCCACACCATAAAAGTTGCGGTAGTGAGAGTTTCCGTTTGGTTATGAGAAACCGAATTGTACTTAATAAAAAAATGTAGTATTTTTTTGAATCGAACCGTTTAAAATTCTCGAAATAGTATTTTTTTTTTATAAAAAACTGAATATTTTGGAATTAAACTGGATTTTAAAAATTTTTGAAAAACCGAAAAATTTGTTAAGAAGATCTAATTTTTTTAATAAAATTGTAACTGAACCGGGTCAAAACTAAAACCGAACCGAATATAATACAATAGCAGATTGATATATATTTTGGTAAAACCGAAAGAATCGAACTGAACTATTCTTGAACCGAACAACGAAACACCCAACACCCACTCTTAGTAAAAGCCGCTGTTACAAACGGTGACTCTCGTTTTCAACGGTGCAAAAAAGGTAAAGGAATTGTTTTCCACTAAGAATCCTATGTTGCTTCTAGAACGGTCGTTAAGTTAGGCCTAGGATTACAGTATGCATTCCTATGCTTTCTGATTCAGCTTCTCATTCATTATTTTGCCTTCATATTCAAATAACCAAACCATATATATATATGTATGTATTATCCAACTTTATTCAAGTATTAAACCAACAAAAAAACTTTATTCAAGCATAATGCGATTAAATAAACCGGCTGACATTATTAGCCACTTTATGTCAATAATATATATGGTGGTGCGTGATAAGTTCGAGTTTTTTTTTTTGTTTTTATTATTTTTTATGGTTAATAAAATGACAACGACAGGTCACCGAAAGAAGGGGAAGAGGAATTAGCGATGTCAGAATCATAATACATTTATATAAAAAAAAGGAATAAAGTATCGTTATATATGAAACAAGAAATATGCTCCACACCTCATCCTATTTGGCACGTATCCGCATATAAACCAGTAACATTCCACCATATATGAATACAAGTGGATCATCATCATCATCATCATCATCATCACTAACAACATCAGCATTTTCATCAATATATACAAACAACCCTTACTATACACACACATGCATGCATACATTATATAATATTTGTAGAAATATGTTTTGTGACGTCACAAACGCATTGACACGCACCGGTCAGTGCATACAGAGTTTCTCTAAGCCATGCGTGTGGTTACGATTAAAAGACTGGTGGTATTGCCCTTTGATTCCACAAAAGTATATGCATGCACACACACACACACATATACATGCATAGATATATGCTGATAGGTGATATGATACCATGGTGACATGTCAACTTTCTGTAAAGTTAGACAACAGTCCACATCATATTTTCATAATGTTACATATATATTTTTTGTTTTGTTTTGGACTGACCCATGTTAGGTTTTTGTGGATACAAACCATTGAAATTGGAAAGAGCAATTAGAGAAGCCAATGAACGGTGTAATACATATTCTTGATCGAATATTAATACGGACAAGCTTTTTACGATTAAAAAGAATAAAGGAATCGACTTTCCATCTGTATAAATTTGGCCATCTTCTTCCTCTTCAGCCCATTCTCTTCTCCATAGGTTGATCTCTTCTTCTTCTTCTTCTTCTTCTTCTTCTTCACATATAGGTTTCAGAGTTCAATTTTCTGTAACTCTGCAACTTATCTTCTGCAGCATAGCCATTGAAGATGGATTGCTTTGGAGCCAAGTACGAGTGTCTGTTTTTCGGTAATATATATATGTGCATACATAAATACACAGATGCCTCTTATAACAAGAGATGGTATCAGATCAATCATCGGTATTGGTGAAACTGATATGGCGTTGTTGCAGATATGGATGATACACTGTACCCTCTCAGCACCGGAATCAACTTGGCTTGCCGGAACAACATCCAAGGAATGAATCTTTTCAAGATTTGAGTTTCTAATTACATGGCTTACATATATATATTAAGGGAGAGTTTCTCAACTGTTTTTTTGCTGTGTCTTTATTGCAGAGTTCATGCTGAATCGCCTGGGAATCGAGGAAACCCTAGTTCCCAAGATGTGTCTGGACCTGTACAAGGAATACGGAACCACCATGGCTGGTCTCAAGGTCAGTGAAACTGTGAAAGAATCGTCCTGACGAGCCTCTTCATTCACTGGTTTAGTTTTCTTTCCGACCAGGTAAAAGTAAAACCCAAGCTGTCGTTTTCTGCAGGTTATGGGATATGAATTTGACAACGACGAGTTCCATGCGTATGTCCATGGAAAACTACCGTACGAGAAACTAAAACCCGACCCAGTTCTCAGGAACCTCCTCCTCTCCATGCCACAGCACAAAATCGTAAGTGGCTTTTTTTTCGCTGTTTTCAGAAAAAAAAAAGTTTGAAACTTTACTCAGATCATCTGTGTTCCATTGTTTCTGTAGATCTTCACTAACGCAGATATGGTGCATGCGGCTCGAGTGCTCAGCAGGCTTGGTCTCGAGGACTGCTTTGAAGGGGTCATATGCTTCGAAACCCTTAACCCTCCAATCGAATCAGAGGCTCCCATCCTCTGCAAACCCGACGTGAAAGCCTTCGAAGCTGCCATTCGTCTTGCTGGCGTAGACCCCAAGAAGACGGTATAGATGAAACAAAAAACACACACACAAGAATCATATAAAGATTCCGTTTTTCTTTGGCTCAGACCCTTTTTCTCGTTGGATTATTTTCCGACAGATGTTCTTGGACGACAGCACGCGTAACATAGCGAGCGCAAAAGCGGCAGGGCTGACCACGGTTCTTGTGGGTGGCTCGGTGGCTAATATTCCAGAAGCAGACTACGTATTAAGCAGCATCCACAACATAAAGGAGGCCGTACCTGATATCTGGGAAGGCAAAGACGAGCAGCCCGAGCAAGTTGTGCAGCCAAACGCGGTTGCAACCATGGTTCTTGCCTAAGATATGGTGGAAAAAGAGGTTTATGTATGTATGTATGCATGTATGCATGTATGTATGTATGTATGTATATTCTCTTGCCGAATTCCTCAAACACAGATATTATACATGTGTCATGCTTTAAATAAAGAAGGGTTGCCAAAAGAGAAACACAGAGGTCAAACGTGAACATCACTATACAATTTGCTCATGTGAATGTGGATTCTGTTTTTACCCAACTTAGCTCGTACGTACCCTTTGGACCATTTCCAAATTTTTATTACATCTCGATATTAGGATTTGAGAAAGTTGTAGAAATGAAAGCTTAATATCAATTATGTGAAGACAATACAAGTGATTTAAAACAAGGAAAGAAATAGATTATGATGATATGGAGAGATCATATACAGATACCAATATATATTATTATTACTATAACATCATATTACAAATCTTAACATGATGACAATATGATATAGACAATATCTAAAATAAAAACATTTTAATCTTTTTAACAAAAAAAAATTAATCTATCCAATCGTAGAAATAGATTTTTTTTTTTTCTTAGATATGTTTACGTGACATATCTGGATTTTGTGGTTTTTTAATAATGGATCTCGAAAAGGTGGTTGTTTGTAAATATCATTATACTGTACAAATACAATCAAAATTATCTTAAACTTAGTAAAAAAAATATTAATCTATAAGAATCATAAAAACGTTATATGATTCAACCAATGGGATTCTTGAATTCAGAATCAGATTTTTCACTCTAATTAAAGCCCCCCAAAGGAATTATATCACCTAATTAGAGCAATATAAAGAAATGTATTGAAAATTCTCTTAAAACATTTTATTGACAAACAAATGAAAACAGAAACAGTCAAAGCACTTGACTTTAGCTCTTTAGACAAATAGAATCAATCAAAACTTTGTGGCTTACAAAATAAAATATTTTCTGCATATACAAAAAAAATAAGTTTGATAAAATCTTAATATATTTAACTTGAATTGTTGAAATCCGATATTCACCGATCATATTAGATACAGTGATACATTCAAAGTTTCGTGCCAATTAAAAAATATATGGATGTCTGGTTACTGAAATGAATAAAAATTGTGCAATCAAAACTCGTTTTTCTCCCAATAGGTTTATTAAAACTACATCCTAATGTGAAATATGTTTTTACGCAACTTAGAACGTGTCTCGTGGATCATTTCCAAAATTTTATTACATCTTAATATTAGGATTTAAGAAAGTTGTAGAAATTCATTATTGAAATTAAGGCTAATCTCATGTAAAGGCAATACAATTGATTAAATACACGAAAGGAAATTTTAAAATAAGGAAAGAGAGATTATAGGGATATATACACCAATGATATTATATATTATTATAGAGATTATAATTAATGAAACAGATCCATATAGTCACCGAATTCACTTGCCACAATCTCCACCGTACGCAAACATTTGTCCCATCTCAGGGACCTGGTTTTGGAAATAGTTGATCTTGTAACAAGAGGGGAGATCGGTGACAACTTTCATTTGAGCGCTGTCTATGCTGACCATCCCGTTCGATTGCTCGGTCGAGTATTCGCAGTGCGCGAAGAAGGCGCTCTTCTTGTAGTCGGCCGCTCTGTCGGGCGGAAAAGTGCCGTTCCCCATGGCCGGAAGCGCTCCGTTGGGCGACTGGCCCACGTTACCTCCGTATGTAAGAGACGTGGCTCCATCTTTCAGATGCGTGAACAGTTCATTCGGCCAGTAACCAACCGTCTGGTTCTCGCATACCAGGAGCCAGTTCCCTCTCACGCCACCGTCCTACCCAAACGGTCGATTTTTTTTTTTTTTTTTTTTTTTCAATGGAA